TACTGATATAAAAAGAAGTTATTATTGTAGATAGATATGCTAATTAGATATCTTGTAGGCAGTTAGACAGGGCTAGTGCCAGCCCTTCCAACACAGCAAGGAGCCAACACGGAGAACAGTTGAGGCAGATTCACTGGTTAGCATTATAAAAAGAAAAGGCACCACTTCCCCTAGCGAGAGCAGTGATTGATATTTTAAATGGGAAATTCCTTGTAGGTGACTCCTTTTCCTATTGCATCCCCATTTAATCAATATTATTACCTGGGTGACTGTACTTATAATCGTATTGGTTTTGCCCCACCTCATGCTCACCTTGTAAATTTCCAATGGGTCTTATAGTTTTGTCCTACTTTATACCCACCTCCCCTCATGGTTTTGCTGTATAAAACACCTTTGAAAAGTGGGGTGGGTGGGAAACCCACTTTCTGGTCCCTCTTCTGTCTCTCTTAGAAGCTCCCTTCGCTCAATAAATTTTCCTACTCTTAACCTCCATTGTTCCTAGAATTCATTCTTTGATTTTCGAGAACACAAAGGCGTGTTTCAGATATCTAGTAGGTTTGGGAGTTACATCTCTTCCCCTATATCACTTTGGCTCTTAATGTTATTTTGTGCCTTTCATAGGGCAAAGAATACTTCATCGTCATTCACACAAAGTTTATGAAAGCAAGATATATAAAGACAGATAGATATGATTTTCAGTTGTAGGAAAGTTTAATTTATAATTCTAGTACCCTGATAAGTAACAAAGCACCCACAGATACATGCCCTTTCTGTACTTCTGAAGAGGAATGTTTAATTTATTGAGCAATTTGTCCAGCAGATAGTGCTCAGAACACACTAAGCTGAGGTGTTAAACAGAAGACTATACCTTGTTTTGGTGTCAGGACCTGGACAGCAATGTAAGAAAGTGAAAAGGCAGAAATAGGAAACCACAGTGAGAAAAAAAGGTATGTTCGTCAAATAAGCAGTTAGAAGACAGTCTGAAGATAAAATGGGATGTACAAACGTGATAGGCCAACAAGAAACAGGAAATCAGAGAGATCGCTTATCACATAATATATAAAGGCCCAAACAGGAAGCAGACTGAAATCAAACTATCCAGGAGCCCCTGTCTGGAAGCTGCTAATATGCTTTCCTGCTGGGACACAAAACACTCCTGAACCCATTTGTAAGTGTCATAAATGTGTAACTAAGAGAAATAATCCAAAAATCACAACTTCGGTCTCATGTATGATGTTAGCCCATCTTCAACCAACTTGACTCACTTTATGAATCAAAACATTTTTAAAGAACCAAGGTATTCTGCTCTAAGCAGCTCCTAAGCATAGTTTAGAAGAAAAATCACTGTACAATCTGCTAAATACATTGGCCTGGAGCAGCTCTGGCATCACAGGCAACAACTGATATTTTTAATAATTGCTCCATACATAATTTCTATGTAAGCCAGGTGAGAAGATGCCTGTAGGACAAAAGCAACGTAACGAATAGTGTTCTATAAAGACTAAAATGGTCTGTTTCTCTACAAGCCCAGCACTAAATACTTGTCCTTGCTTAACTTTCATGAAACATTGGCATTTTTAACCAACACACTTATTCATTAATTATTTACTGAGTATTGCACTGAGTGTAAATGAAGAGTGAAGCAGAATTCCTAACAGCTCTCAAAGAATGAAAGTGTAGGGTGGTGTGAGCCTGAATACTACAAATAGAGTATAACAAGCCCCGCAAGGGTGGACAGCCATAGAGAAGAAAGGGGTTGCTGAGTTTGACCTTTGCAGTAGAAAAAGACTTCATGGAAGAGACGGCTTTGGAACTGAGACTTATAGGATGTGCAGGGCTTAAATAACTTGTGAAAGAAGGAAATATGTTCCATGCCAAAGGAGCAGAAAGCACATGGAGGGAGGAGAAGGTAGAAGGCGTATCTGGCTAATGATGAGTCCGGGGTTGCTGGCATACAAAAGGTACCCCATCTGGGACAGATTAGCAAAGGTCTTGAGGATGCTGGGCTATTGTTGGAAGGTGGTGGGGAGACATTAAAGATTCTAAGGGTGAAAGTGGATATGATTTAAGTCTTGTTATGAGAAAATGACTCTAGTGCAGTGTAAATTTAAAAAGGCAGAAGAACAGGAGTGGAGACATCATTTATCTGGCTACTGTAATGTTCCCACTGAGAAGGAAGGAGGCTGAACTGAGACAACAGCTATGTGGGTGCAGGGGAAGGGATGTGGCAATGACTACGATTTCCGGTTTGTGGCTGGGATTGTGTCCCTGTGTAAAGCGGGTAATTTCTCTGAGTCTCAGTTTCCTCTTCTACTAAATGAAATTAACTTTCCTTCCAGGTCTCTTTCCCAGAATTATTGCAGAATGTGTAATCATGCAAAGTGCTCCAAAGCTTAGGAATTATTGACATTAGAGATCAACGACAAAGACTCTTCCAAGGAAGCGGAAGCAAGCAGAGAAATTAAGAACCCAGTGATGCTGGAGGAGGGAAGGCTGCCCTCACACATTTTTAAAGCTCTTGGAACTCAAAGCTTTTACTAACTCTGTGTGTGTGTGTGTGTGTGTGTGTGTGTGTGTGTGTGTGTGTGTGTGTGTCTGTCTGTCTGTGTGTGTGCGCGCGCGCGCCTCTCCTCCACCCCCGTGCTCTGTGGCAACCCAGGCTCTCACTCATGCTAGGCAAGCCCACTACCACTGAGCTACATCCTCAACTTTTTTTTTTATCTTGAGACAGAGTCTCTTACTAAGTTGCCCAGGCTGTCTTCAAACTTGTGATCCTTTAGCGCCAGCCTCCTCAGTCACCGGGATTACAGGTATATGCCACTGTACCTGGCTTACTAAATCTCTTAACACACAATTCATAGACTCCTAAGTCAGTTGCCCATTTTTGTTCTAAAAAACAAAATGTTAGAGCCATTTTATACTTTCAACTAGCCTTTGATGGCTCCAATGCATCTTAACTCATATGTTTTCCCATGCGGCACACATTCCAGCAGCTGGGTATATTTAGAAAGTAACAGAAAAATCTACATCACCTCTGAAGCTTAATATCTGAAGGCAAATGAATGAATGGTATAGATTTCCTTAGGGTCATCTTCCGGTATAGTAGAAAAAGAGCTGGTACAAAATGTAGATCCTTAGGGCCATTACGCTGAGGTGCTCTTTTGTCTGGTGAAGGCGACCACAGAAGGGGACGTTCTTCATCACTTTAGTGATGTGTCTGGCCCAGACCATCCTAGGCTCCCCACTTGCTGTCAGTTAATCACTTCTCCTTCATCTGCCCCAGCAACCCTGTAGGCCTCCTCCCAAGGCTCAATGCTGATTATTAATTTGCACATGAGTGTTATGCAGAAACCTTAGATTCCAAAACCCCCAAACTATGATTTTTGGCTCCCAAACCTGCCTCTCATACTCTGTTTGCTCTCTGACACGCCCATCTTTGTTGTGCTGCTCTCTCGGATCAGAGTCTCCTTCTGCTTCTCTTCATTCTGTCTCCCAAAGTCCACTGAGTCACTGAGTCCTCTCGCTTCCTTAGCCTCACCTCAAGGGCCACCTGAATGATGGGCAAGTGCTGTCCAGGACCAGAGGTGTGGAAACACATCCCATCACCCCCATCCTGCAACAAGAACCCCTTGACTAACGTCCGCATGAAGACAAATGTCAGGAAGGAACGAAGAGGGCTCTGACCGGCCCTGAATCGGGACATGGTACAGTGCTGGAAATGTGAAGCAGCTCAGCTAGGACCTGATTTATGAGAGACCAGAAACCACAATATTAATTAGGATCATTATACTCCTTAATAACAACATTCAATTGACTTATAACCAGTTATAAGCCCGCTGTCTTTTGTTCTGCATTGCTAATTGTACTTACTCATCTTTACAGTTGCTAAATTATAAGATATACCATGGTTATGAATGGAAAGGAAGGATTTATCCATTTTGATGACAGGCTGTGCAATGGAAAGTGAAATCTAAAGTGTTAAGAGCGTTCATGAGAAAGCTATTCTATTATCCCCCATTCTTCTTCCTTAGCTCCCTGGATAAGAGACTCAGACAAGGAGAAAGCCAGGACAGACACTGCATTCTGAAGATTCTGTTTCCTCCAGGCTTCAATAAGCTGCACAGAGTGGGTTTTCTAAAGCCGTTGTGACTCCAGGTTGGTCCAAAATTTACTTCACAACCAGCAGCCAGGGCTTTCAGATATTCTTAAAGACCTAAACCCCGCTACAAGAGATGTGTCCCCAAAGATTATTGCCACTACCATCACTGTCATCATTTACTTTTCTCCAACCTTATGTGTGACCCTGAGAAAGTGGCCTTTATTAACCGAGCTTCCATTTCTAGCTTCTGACATGTGAGTCAGGATAGTTCCTAGCTCCACAACACAGAGCCTTGCCCATGGAAAGTGCTCGATTCCTATGAGCTTCTGGTGGCACTAATCATTAAGTATGTCAAGCCAAAAATTACCCAGTCGGATCTGGCACCCTCCACCAAAGCACCTCTGCTACAGTCCAACTTTTCTACCCAGATAAACCTCATCTATTTGTTTAGGACAGGAAACTGAAACAACCCAGCCTTTTACTCCTCATCTGGAGCCCTCCCCCTGTGTACTTTCCCTACAGTCCCCATAAGCTGCATCTCCAGTGATCACCCTGCTCTGCCCAGGTACACAGGGCACTTCCACACACAGAAGGTGACACTCACCAGAGGTCATCCCAGCTGTTGTAGGACCCTCCCTTGATAAAAATCCTGCTTTTTTGTTTTACATGATAGTAGATTAGATATTTCAGCTAAACTGTGAAGACTCAGGGACATGAACAAATAAAGTATATTTTCTGGGCTATCATCTAAAGATGAAAAGGAAAGAAGGGAGGGAGGGAGGGAGGGAGGGAGACAAAGGCAAGAAAATTAGGAAATGAAAAAGAAAAGAAAAGCTGATTTTTCTGGCTGGTTAGACTTTATTGAATTCCTAGTTGTTCATCAGTCTTCAAATCTAGGACCACAATCTGAGAAGGAAAAACCCCTCCTGGTCAATAAAGAGACAACACATCAGTGCTCCCTCAAAAGAATCCCAGGAAGGAGGACTGAGGCTTCCCCCTGGATGGAGGAGAAGATGGAAGCTCATCAGCAGTGAAGGACTTCTTCTAGCACAGTATAACCTTGGATTGTGAGTAACTTGTTCTGCTGGTGTTCTGCAAGACAACCAAACATTTCTGATAAGCTGAACTTAATAACAAGTGAGGTCTTGCTGTAGGAGTTGTAACTGATACCAAATGACATGTGGTTCTTTCTCTCTCTCCCTCTCTCTCTCTTTCTCTCTCCCTGTGGGATTGTGGGTAATCACCTCCCAACAGCAAGAGGTAATGGAGGAGATCTCATGTGCAGAGGAGGTAGAAAAAAGGGTGGAGGAATCCCTCACTTCAGACGAGATTAGGAAGGTGGGTAAAATGTGGGAAACAGGGTAAAAATTTGTGGGAAAGCAACACCCGAAGGATATAGCAGTGCAAGTGATGAAACTGTTTAATGACAATGCAGTGTCACATTTCCATAAAATTCTCAAAAAGAGCCCAAAGCAAGTGCCATTGGATAGGCTCCTTCTTAAAGTTACATGAAAAGAAAAAGATTCCACTGAGCCAATAGATAGTAATGATTCCCATCTGTGATAGTGAAAGTTCTTTCACGAACAACAACTCTTAGCTTTCCTGTCTCCCTCACACTAGACACAAAGGTTTTCAAAGGTAAGCGCAGGTTAATTTGTTTATTTTTTCTTTATATTTTGCATTGTTTTACATTATTATGATCCTTCCACGTGAATATTTTTGGGTTGTGGAACGAATCATCTGAATTTCCATTATATCTTAGGGAGAAATTCATTTTGATATACAGGTGCTTTGGATACAAGCATATTTCCAGAACAAACTATGCTCAAAAACCAAGATTTCACTGTATTTAGATGCAAACAGAGCCGCTGCTTCTGTCTGCCAGAAGCTTTTTCTCTGTAGGAAGAAAACACAGACAAGAGGGACCAAGATGAAATCTGCGAAGTATGTAGCGAGGTGAAATGAAAATAACTTTAGGGAGACCTTTCCACAGGGTAAGTGACCAACAATTAATATGCTAACACTGCCATTGTTCAACTGTTCGAAGATGCAGGTTTTTCACATTTTAGTATCTTGGCAGTGAGGATTCTTTTGGGGGGGGTACCGGGGATTGAACTCGCGCCCTTGCGCTTGTGAGGCAGGCACCGAAACCACTGAGCTAAATCCCCAGCCCAGGATTCTTCTTTAAACTAAGAATATGCCCATATTAGGTGGAAATGGTTCACTCTTTTCTCTCTCCATCAGGCAAGCAGGGAAGAGTGCTACGTCTGACCACGGGGACATGTTCAATTCCGTGTAAGTGCCAGATGCTTCACTAAATGCCCATGATTTCAACCTCTCATTACCACGGTCCCTAGGGTTGAGGTGTCAGATGCCAGGCCAGTCAATCTTTTTAAGCTGGCATCTCTCAGAGTCAGAAAGTTCTCCATCACTAGCACGGGGTAGAGCACAAAGAGTCAAATTTAATTTTAATTTTATTGACACTTTTCCCATGAGCTAATTAACCAGCTAACAACGTGCTTTCACTCACTCACCAGGTCATAAGTACTTTGACTCTTTCACTCTCTCATCCCCACCAAGAAAGGCGATGCAGAGGTCTGAACCTCTACAAAATACTTTTAAACACAATATTAAGTCCCTTTAGATTACTTCCTCTCTTTCCAAACTTCTTGGTTTCATTTTCCCTTTCAGTTAGGTCTGAGAACAAGGAAAATTACATGATTTTCAGTCTACATTTTTTTTCTCAGAGAAGAGTCTTGAGTTTTATAATTTGTTTTCACCATAGCAAAATCTCCAGGGAGAAAAATTCCAATGCAAGATTTTTAGTAGAATAATGAGCATGATGCAATAAGACCCTTCCTCAAAACTGCTGCAGACCCTTACTAAAACCTTCCAAATATACACACACATAGTGCGTGACATGTCTCTATGGATTCTGATATCGTCTGTAACGCATGAGCATAACCAGAGTCATTCATGTACGATGGTTTAAAAAGATACAACAAATACATAAAGCAGTTTTCCATGTATTCTGCAGTTTGGGCCCTGAAGTACGACTGGCAGTGGCTAAATCTCACTGATCACTCACCCTGTGCCTGGCACTTCGAAACAAATCACTAACACCCATGACAGGCCCTCAAGAGAGGTCATGCTGCCTATTACACAATGTGCCTAAAGTCAAGAGGTCAGCAAATGCAGGACTGAAATTCAAACTCAGGACCAGCTGCTGCCTACTGCCAAAGCGCTCCTTCTCTGATATCTCTCTCTCTCTCTCTCTCTCTCTCTCTCTCTCTCTCTCTCTTCTCTCTCTCTCTCTCTCTCTCTCTCTCTCTCTCTCTCTCTCTCTCTCTCTCCTTCGCTCCCTCCCTCCCTCCCTCCTTCCTGTCTACCTGCCTCTCATTTTCCAGGTCTGGGTCTCTGTGTCCCCAGCTCTCCCATGTTAGCACTGCTTCTAAGAAAGAAACTGCAGCTGCACTGCCCATCTCCAGGTGGCCGGTGACCTTCCCTCCTTGCCTGTAACCCTGAGTCCTCCATTCAGTACTGACAGGTAGCAGTAGCTCTTCCTTTCTGAAAACGTCACTGAGCCATCTTCATGAAGAAAAGGTGATGCTAACATCAACTTTCTTGTGACTCCCTGGAGCATGTTTAATCCGCCGAGCTTGTAGCTATTTAAAAGGAGCCAATCCCTGCCCTTGTCAGGATGTGACAGCCAGCATTTTTTCTGATGGGCCTAAGACTGGGCCGTTTGCAGCAGGGAAGAGGAACGTCTGCCTGGTGCTTGCACTGTGCACAGGGTTTCTTACTGACCACTCTCCATCCACAGGACACAAAGCCAGGCTCGTCCTGTGTTGCTGTCTGTGGCAAAACAAATCGCCTACAGCGATGCTCAAAATAGGACGCCTATTTCCGCCAAAGAATTGGAGGACTCCTGTCAACCAGCTCAGATCTCTGATTCCAAAAATTGTATTTGACAACATTATTAAAAAGTATTAAAGCCTAAAAGCTATGGACATTCATTAACAACAACCACTTACTAAGCTAAATGGTCATTTCTATTTTTTTTTCCTCATCGAGTTTATTGGTACATTTTAGGCATACAGTACAGTTAACATTCATCACTGGGATCTTGTACCTTTCCATGACAGGTCTTGGTTCTCATTTTTTCCCCTTGTCCCTGCCCTCCCTTCATCTGCTCCTCCTCTGCTTTCAGGTCCTTGAGCATGCGAGGCAGGTGGCACCACCACTGAGCTAAATCCCTGGCCTCATTTCTTTACATTTAAATTGTATCCTCTTAACAATTTTCCATATGTAAAATTATCCCCACTTCTTAAATAAAAAACATAGAAACTGAGTCAGAAAGTCAAGACAAAGGTTACTCTAAGAACTGTTTGTTACCCACTCATGGTGAGGACAGCAGAAATGGAGAATGTCTAGGAACTTTGATAAAAGAAATAAATTTCCAGAGATTTTTTTTTGTAAAGCAAAATGACTATAGTTAATGTATTATATACAAAATTATAGAGTGAATGTTACGGCAGTGTTCTTTGTACATGCTGGGTAAAAGTTGTTTTATCAAATACATGATTTGCATATATTTTCTCCCTGGTTTCTCATTTTCTTATTCTTAGAAACACAAAGCTTTTAATTTTGATGAAGTCCAATTTATCAATCTTCTCCTTTATCACTTGTGTTTTTAGTGTCATTATCTACAAAATCATTCCCCAACCCAAGATTGTGCAGATTTACTCATGTTTTACTCTTGAAGTTAGTTTTAGCCTTTACGTTTAGGTCTATGAATTGAGTTAAGTGAGATGCTCCATGTGAGACAGGAGTACCCACTTCATTCTTTTCTTGTACATGTGTAGATTCAGTTTTCCAAGCAACATTTATGAAAGAGATAAATAACTTTTTTGCAACAAGGACAGGCTCAGTAACAGTGATCTGCTGATACATAACAAAACCTGAAACACAAGAAAGAAAAACAGTAATACTGTGTTTTATAAATATAAATTATTCCTAATTTGGCCTTAAAGTCTGTCTCTGGAGCTTGCCTATAAACTCCAGCCTTCCTGGCAGGGCTCCAGGGCAGGTATTTGTGGGTATTTATGAAATACCATTCATGGGATTCTTCCTTATCCTGGGAGACATCTTAATGCTTAAGTTTCTAAAACACATTCTTCTACTGGCAGGTACTTTTGCAGCTCTGTGTCTGATCCAAGATGGTCACTTTCTGGAAGAGAAGACCCCAACTTTTTGGCCCCAGGGGTGGTTCCGTGGAAGACAATTTTTCCTTAGACAAAGGGTATGGTGGCTTCAAGATGATTAAAGGAGAATGCAGCCTAAATCTCTCACGTGCACAGTTCACAGTGGGTTTGTGCTACTGTGAGAATCCAATGTCACCACAGGTCTGGCAGGACGCAGAGCTCAGGAGCATCATCAGGAATGATAGGAAGTAGCTCTAAATACAGATGGAACTTGGCCACTTGCCCACCACTCACCTCCTGCTGTGCAGGCGTGGTCCTAACAGACCCACCCAGGGCCAAAAGGGAATCCCTGCTCTGGGAGAATCAGGTTTGGTTGTATGTTTCAGGTAAGACACAGAAAAGGCACGACAACAAAGCACATGAAAGAGCAGAAGTCTTCTATGGCGTACAGACCCCAAGAGAAGGGAGCACACTGTCAAGGTGAGGGGAAGCCCTCAGGGATATGTGCACTCCACCAGTGCAGTGGGGGGTCCTGTTAGCCAGAGCCCTGATCGGAGTCCAAGGTGTTACCCAAGTGTGTTTCCTGCAGGGAATTCCAACTGCCAGGTTTAAAGCAGCAGGCACAAATCCTTGGGGGTCACCCTGTGGCTGATAAGCAAGCATCTGTGGCATAGCTGCTCAGCCCACGCAGGTGTAAGGCTGGGGATGCAAGTGGTTTGTGCTTAGCTGTCCACAGAGGGGTGGCCACCAGGAGGCAGTAGTACCTGCACTGACCAGACTGAGGAAGGAGGAGAGGGTATGAGGCTGGAAACCGTCTGGGGTATCTGAGCTTGTTTCTGGTGTAAGACAGGTGAACTCACACTCACAGGAATGCAACGACAACATGAAATTATAGGAGCTCACTGCAGACTGATCTCTTTATCCTTCTTGCCCCCTCCAGCCTGAATTTCAACCTGCCATGCCAATCAGGCAGATTTGTTCTTGTTTCCCTGCACATACCTTGCTGTGTCAAGTGTCTGTCATTTTGATCCCACATCTTGACTTGGACTATGTTTCTCTCATTGCCTTGCCCTTTCCTCTCCTAAACATCAAGTATCAAGTACTCCAGAAAGCCTGCCTTGAATGCCCAGCTAGGGTTAGGCACTCTTCATCCATGCGCCCAACATGCCCTGTTTTCCTGCAACATAGCAGTTCCTACACTGCAAAATAATTACTTATTATTCATCTTCTCTCCCTATGGGCTACAAGTCTTGACCATCTATGTCCAACTACCTTATCCACCTGGCAACTGTGTTCTAGCACAGTTCTAGAACATGGCAGATGAACGAGATATTTGTTTAAATTTGTCTAGATAGGTGTCCAGCGGGAAGGAAGCAAGCCCATCTGCTGGAGTAAACAGATTTCCCCACAGAACCTTCCTGGTAGTAGGACATGCGTTAAGCATCTGGCACAGAACATCTACCTGCTGCAAAGTGAGACAGCCCAAAGAGTGAGGCTGTACCTGAGGTGAAAGCTCTTTGTCAGAGCTCCTGGGATGGAAGCAAAGATTCCCAAGACCTAATTAAAGGGCAGTGCCAGGTACAGAAGGGTAATACAAAAATCTGATAACAGAAAATGGTCCCTGAGAC